ATATATATATATATATATATAGCTAAGATAATTGCACTACTGATTTCTACTAGGTTATTGAAAGGAGCAGTTACTGTTTAGTTATTTGATCAATTTTGCATACCTATATCTGGTAATCTGAACTACTCCTTTGAAGATAACAATATGTAATATAATAGTCATTGTTAATTTCCTATCATCTGGTTTTGAAATTCTGTATCATTTGTTTTTTATTCTCTTTAAAATTAAAAATAAAAAAGAACATACAAAAGAGAAAAAATCTCTTCGAGCACCAAAGAACAGTCTGCTTTCACTTCTTCCCTTGCCGTCTCTAGAGGAGCCTTGGCCACCGCACAGGTCCCCGCAGCACGGAATTTGGTGCATGGTGGGAGTGGAATAAGGACTGTTGGGGACTACTACGAAGTGGCTCTGAGCAGGATTTAATATTAACCAGTTGGCTTTCCATATTTACTTGTGAGTTGCCCGAAGCTTAGGCTCCTTGTCTAAAGACGGGCAGTGGACTCATAGTAAGTGAACCTCTATGAGTCGCTGGCCACCGCAGAGGACTGTTTTGGCCTGTGAAGGACAAGATAAGGTCACAGCTGAGAAAGTCTGGCTCCAACCCCAATTAACTACAAGGAGACTGCAACTGCAGGCTCTGCACTCCTACAATAAATACTCACCTAAAGATAAGGTAATTCTCCTGATTGACAAAATTTACTACTTGGGAAAATTCTCCTAAGGTCCTGCTAGATTCCTGCATTTTCTTGAGCATCCTCCTTTGTTTGAAAATCAAATAAATAGAAGTCTTGGTCTAACCCAGAGAACACTGAAGCTGTGAGAGAGTGAGACCCTCCTGGAGCCCGGAAATCATTTCAGTTGTCTCACTTATTTAAACCTTCACCGTCCACTCGTTTGGGAGATTGCGGATCTGATCATCCCGAGATAACTAGGATTATTTAACCTGATAAGAACTGTGTTGCTAGACCCTCGTCCTCCTGCAGATTTGTGTGCTCCTTTCCCACGGGGACACGACTTTCTGGACAGCGGCCCCTCCCTGGCCGCCAGGTGGCGCCGTCTCCCCGCGTGCTGCCCCCAGGCCTCCCCAGGACCGAAGCGCAGGGATGCAGACCCATGCAAAGCGGGCAGTGCGCGCTTCCCGGGGGAGTCAGCCGAGGTCCCCGATGCTCAGGCCGCGCCCAGAGCAGAGCTGGGAGCGGAGAAGGACGCTGCCACAGCGGAGCCCACACAGGGCTGCACCGATCCGGCGGCGCTGTAGCGCCTCCCGACCCCGAGCGTTGCCCGAGCGCTGGGGCCGACCTGACAGCACCGCCGCCGGGGACAGCGGCGGAGCACGTCGGGAAGGGCGGGCCGGGCCCAGCTGCCGCCTGCAAGAGTGGCCTCTTCCCTCTTCCGGCAAAGAGACGGTTACCAAAAAAAGTCCCTTCCACCCGACGGAAAACAAACCCCGGGGGAGCGCGGGGCTGCGCTGGCGCAGTGAGCGGAGCGGGCGTCCGTCCCGCGGGCGGCTGAGCGCGCCTGACTCGGGAAAAGGCGCTCAGGGTCCCCAGGAGCGCGGGGCCGAGCCCAGCCCGGTTGGCCGGTGGCCCTGGCTTAACTTCCACGTGCCCGCGGGTTTTCCCGCAGGGGCAGTGATGCCGGAGGCTGCCGGGGGAGCGGGAACGCGCAGATTCGCAGTCTTTTGCCGACCCACGTCCTCACAGCTCCTCACCTACCTGCAGTGAGCGCGGTGCGCGGCCCTGCGGTCTCGCTGTCCTGTCCCGGCCCCTGGTTGCGCAGGGAGCCTCCCGCTCTGAGGGGTGAGGACCCCCGGCCTTCCCGGTGCGGTCCCCGCGGGCGACCGGGTTTGCCGCGTGGCGTCTTGTGCGTTTCCTTCCGCAGCAGTAGCTTTCGTCTCGGTGATCGCTTTCACCGTTGTGAACTGCGCGTGTCACTAGCGACACATTCCACAGCCCTGTCAGTGTCGCGGAGGAGTGCTGAAGCTTTGCCTGCTTCTTACCTACTATTTTTAAAAGTACGGTTCTGGTGAATTTGCTACACAATTTAAAACACTGTTGTTGTTGTTTTTTAACAACTTGCTATTAATGTATATTATTTATTATTATTATTATTATTATTTGGTCCTGGGAATTGAACTCACGACCTTGCTCTTGCCAAGCAGGCGGTGTGCCGCTGAGCTCTATCCCTGGCCCCTTATGTATTAGTTTAAACAATGCATTTTAACTGTACAATTTAAAATATGAGTTTGTATCACTATATTTTAAATACAGAAATAGTTGTATTTAATAACTTCAGTTTTAATAAATGAACTATAAACAGTGCTTCAAAAGAGTAAAAAAAAATTGCAAATACAAAATGAAATATTTTTGCTTTGTATTCCACACATAAATTCACATTAGAAATATATTGTAAGCGTACATACATATATAAATATATATTTGAACAATACAGTTAAAACCTTAGCTTCTAACATCAAACATCAAAAATTCTTGGCTTGACAACTTTACAACTCAAAGTAGAGATTTTAATATTTGAATTATTTTCCCTTCAAAAATTGGTAAACACCCAGAAGTAAGTGAGGGATCTCAAAGACCTAACTAAAGAACTGTGTTAAAGTGTATCACATAATTAAGTGTATTTTATAATACTAATGAACATATATATGATTGTATAGTCCATCTTTATATATTGCATATTTATATAGTAAAGATATATTTAATAATATGCCCTTTCAAAATAAATATTAGCCAGTTTATTTGGTTTACAGTTACAATTTACTAAATCCGGAGAAATTTTGTTGCTGATAGTAATCTGTATTTCTCTTATCTTTAAAATTATCAAATAGAAATTAGATATTATTATGATCAAAAGGATATCACATGCGAGTCCTTTCTTTAAACTGAATAATAATTTTTGCCTTTTCAATTAAAGTTCATTTTTACAGAGAAATCCCTAGATTATAACCGATCTGAACTGAATTCTTTAAATGAATATCTGCAGAAGAATACTTCGGGGTAACCGAAAGTTCAGGGTAACCGAAAGGGGAAGGTTATTTGGTTTCTGGGGCTCTTTAGTAACATACATGCTGCTTGTTTTTCTGCCCAATGGGATACAGTTTTTCTGTTAGGGCAGCAACAGAATGCCTAAGTGTGTGTCACACCAAAACTCAGATTAAACTTTAAAAGTTAACTAGCAGCTGAGGATGTTTCTTTGATTTTACTGTTGCACAGAGTTTTCTGCTTGATATTCATGATGACGAAGGGTCAAAGGGCTTAGCCAGTGCTAGGTACTAGTTTGTAGAAAATGACATTCTGCAGTCAGGTCTGCCATCCCCTTTGTCTTGGACCTCTCAGCCTCAAAACTGTGAGAGAAAAAAGTATCTGTTTTGTAAGCCTCCCAGTCTGTGGTATTGTCATAGTAGCCTAAACTGACTAAGAGCTATTCTTTAAATCAACCGCAGTGCACTGAAACAAATGCTTTTCCTCTTTCTGAAAGGCAACGTCGAGCTGTTTCCCAGCCCAGAGGCTGAGCAGATGAAGGCAAGGCCATCCTGTTCCAGAAAACAGGATCTTACTTCTACACAGCCGGAAGAAATTCTGCCTGCTTCAGCCCATTATGAGCCTGGAGTCCCAGATATAGAATCTGATAGACTTTCCTCTGAGAAGAGGAAATAGTTATTTCCAGCCTTCCTTCAATATCTTGGCACCATTTTTGTAAATCTTCAGCTCCTTATCACAGCTCATCGCGTCCCTGGGTTTAGAACTTCCTAGCATTCGCTGTAACGCGTGATCTGACTTGACAGATAATAACCCAAGGTGCTCCACGCCTCTGTACAGACAAGTACAAACACTTCATTTCCTGTCTGCACAAGATGGCCGCCTGCCCTTTTGACTGGGATGTTTTCCGTCTTCAGTGCGCATCTGCTTCCGATGACCTTCCAGCTGAGCTACCCCTTGCCCACATCAGCCATGTCAGAATATAACTGATTTTACTGCTACTTCTAGTGTGCGTGCCCAGGTGCTTCTGCAATGGCCCTCAACTGTCTTCTGGCTCCTTGGGCCTGGACATCAAACATGATCTCTTTAATTAGATTTTTTTCACACATCTCATGTTTCATGAAAGCTGTGAGTTCTCTGATTTTTAGCGAACAGTCCCAAATATCTTACTCCACCTACAAGTTTTGGATCCATGTATGGAGGTCCTGACACTTTCTTCAGTTTTCTCTAATTGTTTTACGCGTGCATGTGTGTGTGTGTGTGTGTGTGTGTGTGTGTGTGTGTGTGTCTGTCTGTCTGTCTGTCTGTCTTAGTTTCTTGGATTTGCCTTCTTCTGGAGCTTGCATCTTTATTTCAGTATCAGATATTGCTTATTCTTAGCTGCACATTCTTTTGTTATATCCTGTGGTTGACTATGATAGAAATGCAATTCCTTAACTACAGGGTTTGGATAATCCAGAATATCAGGCATTTATAAATGTTCAGAATCCAGACACTGCGAGGTGCTCAAACTGCTGAGCAGGGAAGAGTCAAAGGGGCAAGCCTCAAACTCCGGTCTTCCGAAAGTTACTTGCCAGGCTGGCCTTTGAATAAAGTCTGGGCAGCTGAGCACCTCAAGAGTTCCCACCATTCTCACAAATTATAAGAACAGCTCACTGTATCCAAACTGTTGAGCAACAATATAATTTATGCAAAACACACACTTTCCTTCTGGAAGTCTGGGATTTTGGTGTGTGTTACACATGCCAGGCTGATGCGACCGAACTCAGCAAAATCTCGGAAGCCCGGTCTTTGGTGAACCTCCCTGGCTCATCATGCAAAGGTGATTATAACATAGGGTGAGTGTTTACATTTAAAAAGTTATTACAGTAAAGGATACATCACCATTAGAGCTCCCCATACTAACCCCCCTCACATTTCTCATTTTTGCCCTTTCTGAAGCACTTCTGGAAGCGCTCCTCATGGGTATCTCCACGATGTGTGGCTACAAATGCAGAATGTTGGTGTTCAACACCATCAAGCAGCAAGTGGGCTAAGGGATGTATTATACTGTGTTCACAGCCACCTTATGTACCAGATCGGTCACCACTGGCCTTCTGACTCTTCCCTAAAGTGAAAATGACCTTGAAAGGTAAATATTTGGAATCAATTGACAAGGAGCCAAGCACGACAGTCCAAGTAAATAAACTGACAAAAAGGAACTTTCAGAACTGCTTCAGAAAGTGGCAAGAATGTTAGGGGAGTCGTGTCCAAAGTGATGGGGACTATTTGTGAGGCAGGTTAATACAATGTGCCTTTTGCTGTAATAAAGTTTTTAAAAATGTAATGATTCACCAGCCTTTGTGACTCCATCAGGAAAAGACTCTGCAAAGTTTGTACCTGGTTTCCTCCAGACTCACCTCAGGTCCTCCTTAACCTTTGAAAATTTTGTTTTCTAACTTTTGACTACAATCCATCTCAGCCGTGAGTGAGCCCGCACGCTAGGTCCATGGTATGTGCTCCGAGAGAATTTCAGAACCTAGGAGGGGATTGAGAATGCTCAACCTAGGTGCCTCGCTGTGTGCCACATCTAGATGTTGAGAGAATCAAACAAGATATTACCCATAAAGCAAGCAGCACAGGGAGGGGTGGAGCTGTTCCTCCCGCCGCTCTTTAATCTTTCTAATTTTTTCTCATGACCTATTGTTAATTTCTTCATTAAGAACTGTTTGTCACGGGGCTGGGGATTTAGCTCAGCAGCAAAGCGCCTGCCTGGCAAGTGCAAGGTCGTGAGTTCGGTTCCTGGCACCGGAGAAAAACCAAAAAAAAAAAAAAAAAAAAAAACCCAAAAAAGAACTGTTTGTCACAATCGCATCATGTTTCAAGCAGTGGGAAAGATACAGGCTGACGGCAGCAAACCACATCTTCTGACCTCCTACCCGGCATCTGAGATTATCTGTCTACATTTGTGTTTGTGTCTCAGCTGGCTCGAGACATCAGGGTCTCTTCCCAAGACACTCATCTGGTACTCTGAGGACAGAGCTCTGGCAAGACCCACGATTCCTAGGGCTGTTCTTGAAGGATGCTCTTTGGCAGTTCTACCTCCCTGTGCTCCCACTGCATCTTTTCATCCTTTCTAAGACTCAAGACTGGCAACCACTCTTTTAGCCTGGAATAAAGATTTTGGCCAAACTCTACCCCACAGCTTAGAACAGCAATCTTAGGGCAGGGTAGCTCCCAAGGAAGCACTCTCCACCATACCCCAGAGGCTTCTGACTTGGAGCAGGAGTCTAGAGGTTTTGATTTATGGTTCAAGATTTGTAACAGAAAGTCTCGAATATTCGGAGGTCAGATTCTGCAATATCAAGTGAAACCTAAAGTGCATGCTGGTGACCAGGGCTGAAGCTAAAGCCCTAGAGCCTTTGTCCATGATGTTTAATTTCCAAGGCCAGAGCAGAGGGACCCGTTCCTCTGATCCCCGACCTTCACCAGATTCTCAGAGATTCAATTCAAGAACAGATGACCAGAGTCCAGACGGTCAGGACAGGATCCAAAGTCTGGGAAACCTCAGGATTCAACGTGGAAGTTCAGGTTGAGTGCCTGAAGCTAGTCCAGAAAGCATATCCTAATACACTGAAACCACAGTTAGGGTTCAGAACCTGCACCTCAGATAAAGAAACGAGAGAGAGGGAGTTCGCAGACATTAGTGGAGGGGAGAGTCACTCTGCAAGATGCCCGGCACCCGGAAAGGTTCCAGATACCCAGATCCGGACTCAGTGTTTCAAATGCTAAGCCCTTCTACCTGAAGCGTTGATAAGGCTTTCCCTTCACACGGGATGCTCTTCTTTGCACTTCTGTGCTTTAGGACTCTTTCTTTCCTCAGACAGGCAGTGTCTGATTGCACAACATTTGGGTGTTCTCCGTGTCAGTATCTTTTTCAGCCTTTTTTTTCCCTATCGTAAAAGAAAATGTACTAATATAAATGTGTTTGTTTACTTTCCCCACTAGATTCTGAGCTTACAATCAACTTACGT